AAAACAAGTGCAGTGTGCATGTGAAGTGAGGAAAGGTGAGGAAAGAAAATGCCCACGGTTGCTGCCTGTCCATCACCCACGTTGTCCAGTGTTCAGCAGATTTTCAAAACCTGTGAGACGCCACCTCTGTCTGAGTGGCCCTTCAGGCCAGCAAAAGATTAGGCAAACACCATGGATGCCCAGAAAGCCTCGGACTTCTTCACAGAGAGCCCATTACACTTCCACAGAATAATCATTGGAAAACCACTTGTTTGTAGAGGAAAATGGTCTTTCACGTAACCATGTTAGTCCCAGAAAAAGTGTACATCCAAAAAATACTCCAAATACACAGGGTTGGGGAGGGTCTCCCATGAGACGCTCTCCCTCGAAGAGTCCTCCAACCCACCCTCCTCACATGGGCAAACACTCTGCTCCGCCCGACACGTCCATCTCCAGGAGCCGATCCTGCCGGCCGCGCACAGGCCATAGCCGGATCCATCCGGTGAATGGTGCTCTGGTTCCGTTTTGGGAATGGGTGGTGGAAACCCCAAATGGAGTTGGGCGCGTTCGGTGGGGGGGGACACCATATGGCTTCCTTTCTTCGAAACGGAAGGGGTCCAGTCGGGAGGGAGGCTGTGGTAAAGGCTGGCGCACCATCTGACGGACTGACGGATACTGAACATGCTTCGGCTCTTCCCACGAATTGGAGCACGCGAGATACGCGAGTCAAAAGATCCGTGAGACAGACGGAAGCTTCACCGAAGTCCGGGCCCACCATCTATTTGAAAGCCTTTGACGAACAACCATTGTTTTACTAAGGATTTTACAAAGCCAGATCGACCATCTTAAAAATGGTCTTGAACTTCCAGGGTTCAGGTCTTCGCTTAGCTCTAGCGTGAGAAGCCAACCAAATAGGTCAAGCGTATTCGACCCATCCAGTTGACCACCTATGAGCTTCGACCCGTCCATGTTCCATTTCACCCCTGAACTCAGCCAAGAAATTCAGATGCCCCGAACCTTCCCCCAGTTGACGCCGAAAGAAAAAAGGCGAAAACACAGACACCCGAAATGACCAATGACGATTCAGTCTTCGATCCTGTCTTCCATTTCTTCGTTTCTTCGGCTCCTCGCGGATGGAGCCTTTCACCTGCGAATGAAGCCTCGTCCACTTGGGCCACACGATCTCCACCGAGGCCACGAAGCACGGGCCGCCCGTGTAGTTGGTGCCGGAGCCATTGACCGCATAGCGCACGCAGGTGGTGGCCGACGCGTCCACCTGGGCGGCGGCAGAATCCAAACCGGTCCAGAGAAGCACGGTGAGAAGGGAGGGGGTGACAGGGGCATATGGGGGGGGCAGGGACGTCTGAGACTCACACATGGAGGCCGGAAACGAGAGTTCAAGAGTAAAGACGTCTTCCAACAGCCTCAATGCTTCATTTTTGTGCATAAATATATATATATATATTATATATATATATGTGTGTGTGTGTGTACTATATACCTAGAGCCCATGTTACCCCTGTTTTGGGCAGGAAAGGACCATATTTCGGCTGGTTGGTGGTCCAAAAAATAGAGGTCACTCAGTATGTATTTATACACTATACTTATTCTCTTGGCGAGTTTGGGTACCCCAAGCCCATCGGAAGCATTTAATGATGCACACACCGCTCGTTTGGGGTTTCAAGAGACCTCGCCTGGATCTTCAGATTGAAGATGTGTGAGTAGATGCTACCAACCTTGGAGAGGCTCTGAGCCGAACAGCCATTGTCCAAAGTGCAATAGCCCCGCAGCAGGGTCCAGAGATTCTCAGTGTAGTTGCCCCATGTTTGAACATAGGCTATTTCAGCTTGATAGATCTGAGCCAGGACATATCTCGCAGGCCATTCCACATTCCCACAAAGTGCTTCTCCCCGTTCCTGGGCGAACTGTAGAAAACCGAAGGTGTCTGGGTTGTGCATGTAGCGGTGCCCGCCCACCGGCTGCCACACCCATTCCCAGTAACAGCTCCATTGGTCGCTGCCCAGTAAGGTGGGTTGAGATGCCTGGATTGAGGGACAAAGCTGTCCAAAGAGGGAGGAGTTGGACGTGAAGAAGGGATGCTCTGCACGCGAAAAGTCCACCAACCAATACTTGGCGCCATGACTTGGGTCAAACTTCTCCCCCAGCGATGCGCCATGACCTGCAACGGAACTGGTGTTCCAAGGTCGGACATCTTACAAAACAATGAGGGGATATCTATGAAAAGGGACTCCCAGGTCCGATTCCTTAGGTTTTTTGCGGGCAATTCGGACAGGTGGTCCATCTGCCATGCGCAGTCGTTCCACTTTCAAGACGTCGGGTGCTCCAACAATCTCGACCATGCTAGACTTTCCCACTGCACAGGATGTGGTGAACATCCCGATAAGCAGAACTGACCAACTCATGGAAGTGCCTTCACAGAAACAGCACAGCCACCCGTCGCCTGCCGAGAGCAAGCCGCCGATGCCATCCTTTGGGCGCAGTGGAAAGGCCATCTCCACCGTCCAGCCCTTAGTGGCCCAGCCGTGAGCGGTGTCCGCCCGGGCGGTCGCCGTCTTCATGTGGGGAACCATCGACCAGGTCCCACCGAAGGGCGGCCAGGAGGAGTTCTGGCAGTACCTGGAGCACAAAGGATGGAGTGGCAGTACCTGGAGCACAAGTACCTGGCAGTACCTTTTTCATTCTTGGTGTACGGACTTGTGACGTTCTAGTCGCTTCTTGTTAGTATATAGTAGCGATGGCCTCCAAGCTACTTGTGATGGCCTCTACCTAATTGCGTCCTAGTACACCAAGAATGAAAAAGACCTTTAATTGGTTTTTGATTGGAAACTGGTGTAATGACAGTTCCCCTTGGTCGTGCAGTTTGTCTGCAATGAAACGACTCTTGGAATGCTACTCTTGGTAGAATGAACCGTTGGGAATACGCCAAGTCATCTGCTACTTCAACCACTTTTCGACCTCGCTTCCCATCAACCCCCGGGAACCGCGCACCTTTTGCAGGAGGAATCAGTGATGGCACAGCAGGGAACTCCAGTTGATCCCAAACCGCCGTCTGGCACACGCCATAGGACATCATAGGTGGCATTGTTGAAATTCATCTCGAACTCCTTTCTGAAGAATCTCAGTCTCCACATGAAAAAATACCCTGAAACCATCATGAGAGTGGATGGCATAGGTCCCGGGAAGACCATCTTGCAACTACCGAAGAGGGGGTACCATCCACGCCCATGGAACGTGGCTGGGGAGAGTAGAGCTTTCAATCTTGATTGTTAGGCTCGTGTTTGATAGATCAGAATTTGGGATTGAGGGAGCTCTCCGAAGAGTTCGAAACCGGAAGTCCTTGTACCAATGGTTGCTGCCCGCCACGTCCACAAAAACCTCGAAGTCATTGTCGTAGTAGGGGACATTGCTGTTGTAAATGGGGTTGCTGCTGGTCAACGAGGGATTTGATCCTCGTACGAAGCCCGTTTCAACCCAAGGCTCACCAATGAAAGCTCCAACGTACAAGTATTCTGCATCCCAGCGCACTTTGACTTGAGTGGCGTATTGAGAGGGCAGCACATAACTTGGAAAGCGAGGTTGCGCAATATCCTTGAAGGCAGAATCTGTGAAGGGAACCTCTTCCCAAACAGTCTCGTTGAGATTGCCATCAATTTGCACTGATTGGCCCGTGTGCAGCCTTTGGGCGACATACTGGTTTGGATAGGCCTCCAAAAACAAGAAGCCCTTCTCGTGATGTGAGTCTTGCAAGAGCTCTACAGCATCCTCCTCACAGCCAACTGCTGACGTCTCTGCACAGGACAGCACGAGCACGACACAGCAGCATGCAACACAACGGCACGACATCCAGCCGCCAAAGTTCAGCTCTCAGACCGCAAGTGAGTCCTCAGTGTGTCCTGTCCGTGACCTTCGCCAACATTGTTGTGCAACATGTATATACCTGTTTCCGAAACAAAGGTGGAAACTGTCCGAAGGTCTTTCGAAACTGCTTGCCTCCATGATATGTAGTATTTGCGTATGATTGAGAGTAGATGCTCTCAAAGTCAGGCTTACCTGTGAAGCTTCTTCAAGCTGGTGCTGGTGCTGGTGCCGGAAACACCAGGATCCAAGCATTACATTTACGGTCTACGTCGTCGCACAAAGTGGATACACCCGCTTTGGTGGCGACTTTGGAAAGCCCCCTAAGAAATGGTCAAAGGAAACTGTTCCTTCATAAGATTGGTGCATGTTGACAAGCAAAACAAAGGTCCACCAAGGATGCCCCTTGCTCAAAGGAAGTGTTGAACCCTTGAATGAACACGGCACAGGCTGATCCTTCAAGCGTGTTATGCAGCCTTAAGATGTTTTGTAGGCGATTGAATATGTTCTCCCAAGATATGCACCCACTCGATCATATTCCACCCTTAGAGCCAGGCTAGCCAGGCAGCAGCACCCAGCAACATTGACATGGCCAGGTCAAAGACGGCACCAGGCTGCTGAGCTAATTTGCTCCATTGAATTGTCTCAACAGAACTACATGGCACTTCAAAATCTCGAAATTGTTGTGCTTGGTGGAGCAATGTGTTGAAGTGGAAGGCAATGGGCCTTCCAAGTCAAGGGAAACCAGAAAAGGGACACCTGTTGACAAAAAAAAAACGGAAACTCCAAAAAACGTCTGATGACCCAACAACGATGTGGAAAATGGGCCCCCGAACCGGGGCCTGAACTGGTCCGTTGAACCCCGGAGCACAACACCTCCGTTCTGGATGTATGGAGCTTGATGCTCCAACACTCAAGCTGCTTTGGCGATTTGATGTCTGTGATTTCGTTTCTCCATGTGTCTTCCCTCCTGCCATGGAACCTTCAGAATTAGGGCAAAGCAAAATGACAGCTCTGCATTTGTGCCATGGAGGTCAGAAGACAGCCATGCGAAACATCGTTGACGCTACGTGGTGCCTGGACGGCCTCCTTGAGAGCCACAACGAGCTTGGGATCGAACACGAGCTGACCGAAGCCAGGTGAATGCGAGCGGAGGCCCATTGCCCAACGTCTCCCAAATCGCGCAAACAAAACCGCAAGCAAGTGCAAACCCATGCAAAAAAATGAAATAAATCTCCCGGCTCAACACAGATCTTCCTCTCTTTTTACACTGAGAAAACCATCCACGCTGGGCACACAAGCATCGGGCGAGCGCTCGCGCTTCACACACTCACCGACTAGCTTCACTGTCGGCGAAACTCGGCCGCTTTCGGTTGGGTCACTGTTGGGTCACTGAAGTGATGGGTCAGCTGTGTTGAGTCAGAAGTCTCTTTCAGCCAAAAACGACGGTCCACTCCTTCAAGTCGGCGATCTCTGGAATACGGCTGCTCTGCGTGGTGCGTGCCACGCGAGAACGTGGCTACTCCTTAGGATTTCTGCCTCAAGTACTCGCACACTTTGTCGTAGGCTTCGGCGACCTCGCGAAACTTGATCTCTGCAGCCGCCTTTTTCCTTAGAGCTTTGCGAAGCAAAAGAGCTTCGCGAATTACCCAAAAGGAGCTGCACGCAATGAGTTTCATTATCCAAAAGTGACTGGCAGAATGTCCAATGCCGCAAGGGTCTGGCCGGGGTTCTTGTCGGGATGGTGCTGCAAAGCAAGTTTGCGATAAGCCTGTCAGGGAGATAACAAGGACAATATATAAAAAAGAGCTCCAGGTCTGATCTGAGTGATCACAAAACGGTTACAGTAGACAAGTAATAGACAAGTGAGAAACAAATACACACACACACGATGATAAATATGTATATAATTGTGATATATATTATATATATACAGTAATATATATATATGTATATTGCAATTTCTGTTCACGAACACCGTAGGAACTCGTCCCGGTTCTCTCCGGGCTCAAGGACCTACCGTGCACTTGCATGGTAGCGGAGCCTCACATCTAGCTCCATTAGATAGGTGTGAGGTTTCCAAGCCAAAAGAGCAACGAAGCCTTAGATCCAGGGCATCCGAATCGGATTTCCTTTTGGGTGAGTTTTGTAGAGGTAGCCCCTGAGCCATGACCGTGACCAAAGGCAAGGACAACATCCCCTCCTGGGACGGCAATCCAGCGTCCTGGACTGAGTACAGGAAGGCAGCCTACCTGTATGAAGAAACAGTGAAATGGGAGAACCGCTACCTCTGCGGTCCCTGGCTGGCAGCTGAACTCTCAGGAGCCGCGAAGGCGGCTATCAGCAACAAGAAGCGAGGTTGGCTCTCGAGAAGACGGAATCGAGAAGCTCATGAAATGTTTGAAAGAAGCGATGTCGGAACCCGCTCTCCCAGAGATTGCCAACCAGCTCAGGGCCTACTTCAAGGTCCTCCGCCGTCGTCGAGGAGGCTTGTGCGCGGCATCAAGAAGAGTACGCCCGCACCTGCAAAGCCCTGACCCGAGTGATGAGAGAACAACGCCAACTCGGGCAACAAGGACCTCAAGCCTGGCACTCCGGACGACGGAACTGCCAAGTGTCAATGGAGCCCATTCCAGAGCGTGCAGCTGCTCGGTCATCACGAACCGGGGGGTCCAGTGATCGAGCATCGGCCGCGGCCTCCGAATCAGGCGGCCTCACCCCGACAGAGACTGCCGAGAACCAAGCAGAAGAAGAAGATCCCACTTGGGAAGAAGATGAGACATGGTGGTGGTGGTACACCAACTGGTGGCAGTCAGAGGCGTGGACCGCCCCCCACAGTTGGGAGCCTCAACAGCGACAACGGCCGATGAGGAGGACGATGAAGAGGACTTCATCGAGATCCTCCCGGACGTGATCAAAGGCTGGCTGTTGTTAGATGTGTTGTTGCGAAAAATTCGAACTGTGTCTCATGAACCCATGAAGATCTTTCCTTTTGAAGAACATGGAAACCCGCAGTTGTACTGCTGGACTGACGCCAGCAACCAGAACAGACATGACGGAAGCAGCACGAAAGGCATCCTGGTCGGGATGTCAGGGGGCAAACTCGAATCGGGGGAGATCGATCGTGTGTCTCCGTGGCTTTGGCAGAGCGGTAAAATCGATCGGGTGTGTCGGTCACCAGGTTCGTCGGAAGCGCGCGCTTTCATCGACGGCGAGGATATCCTCCACATGTTGAGATTTCAATGGGGTGAAATCATGGGACATGATGTGGACATCCATGGCATCGACAACCATGTGAGTCGGGTTGGAGGGGTGCTTATCACGGACAGTAGAAATGTCTATGACAGGGTTGAGAAGCCTTACATCACCCCCAAAGGTGCTCAAAGGCGAGTGGACCTGGAGCTTTTGACCATCAAAGAATCCCAAGCGCGAACAAAGTTGCGCGTTCGTTGGGTGAGTTCCCAGGCCATGTTGGCCAACTCTCTTACCAAAAAGGGGGAGGACGTTCAAGTGGGACGTTTTGTTCAAATGGGCCAGGTTTGGAGGATCGTGGACGACCAAAATATGTTTTCGGGACGAAAGCGGATTGGTATGGGGAAATCCGTTCTGGAATGAATCCCGGATCCAAGATGCGGAAAGCCCAGGCTTCTGATTTTCTTTACACCGAGGTTGTACAGACCCGGGCATGCAATTTCTGTTCACGAACACCGTAGGAACTCGTCCCGGTTCTCCCCGGGCTCAAGGACCCCCCGCTCCAGTGTAGGAAAACGGAGGCCGCTACCGTGCACTTGCATATATAATCCAATGTCCAGTTTGCACTTGCCAAGGTTATTGAACAGAAGATACGTCTTTTGTTTTTGTCAAACAAAAAACTCGTGTGGTGGATGTTGCCTTTACCGACTCGCGCCGCGCACACCTACTTCGCGCAGACTCGTGCCTTGCGAACTTCGTCGTGAGTTGCTGTCTTTGGCAAGCCCAAAGAACGAAAGTATCTCTCAATGGGAGAGCTTTGCGGAGCCGCAGATGGCCTGAGGCCGTTTTGTAGCTGATGTTGCAAGCAAATGTTCATTTTGCACTGCCCAATCACCCAGACTTCCAGCAAGCAAACTCATTCAGACTACCCTCAAAAATATTCCACGACTCAAGCCTCTTTGCGCCACCGACCCCTTGGTTGCCAGGAGGAGGTCCAGGCCCAGCATGTCGCCGTTGACCGGTGGGCATGCCAGCATGGTTGCGGTTCCCTGCGGTTTCAAGCAGCTTCCAGCTGAATCAAACCACTTCAATCCACTGTCTTTCGTTCGTAAAACTGCTGTATGTTGCTGTTTGTCTTTGCCAATATGTGGTAAGTGGTTCGTTTAAAAGTTATGTTGCTTAGTTGTTTATTAAACACCCTTTTGAACATGGATCAGGACGTCCTGCTGCGAAAGCTCGTCGGTTCTCCTCGGCTTTGGCCTCCCACACGTGGTCATAGTCGCCAAAGCCAGACTTGGTCTCCGTTTTCCTCAAAAAAACTCGGAGCCACCACGAAGTGCCAGGGCATCCACAAAACTTCGCAAACGACCTGTTTAACTGGCTCCCAGATTTTTAGCAAATGAATTAGGTTTTGCCCATCTGTTGAAAAGAGATGCAGGTATCCTCTAAAATTTGGCTGGGAAACGACTGGGATGACCCTTGCTGATTGTTTGCCTGAATGCAGCTACTTGAACCAAATGATTCAAATAACAAAGAAACAAACGATGCATACCAACTTCTACAAGCCGGAGCCTGGCTCTGAGGTCGTGATGGATTTCCATAGTTGAAGAAGTTCTTGAAACGTGACTCCGCCATTTTCACCTGACCTGAGCATAGCTGGCATAGCTGAAGAGCTGAGCGTGGCTCTCGTTTCGTGTGTTCGCCCCGCCTAAAGAACCATGCAGTCGTTGAATGAGTTCTTCCTGAAGTCAGAAGCAGAGCTGCAAAAACTGACACAAAACTTACGACCAATAAAGAAACACGCGCACGGCATCATGAAAACCCAGCACCTCCTAGGATCTTCTATATATGCTCCTGCAGTCGCCTCATCGGCCTCCTAATCTGTTCTCCCCTCATCATCCCTCTCGCCTTGTCACTTGTCATCCGCATGCTCATCTTCATCATCACCATCATTCTCACCCACCCACCCACCCACCCACTCCCACCCACACCATGATGTAAATGCTTGAACACCTTTCCCAAAGAATGGCAAAGTCATGGCTGTGGCAGCAAGTATTGTACCCGCATGTTTAACCTTATGTGTGATTCTCTTGAGGGTGTCAAGAACAAGCTGACATACTCCTTCCCCTTTACTAGGCACTCAGACATTATTGAAATACAGTAGATAAAAAGCTAGACACAGACAGACAGACAGACAGACAGACAGCCAGCCAGGCAGGCAGGCAAGCAAGCAAGCAAACAAACCAACAAACAGCGACAGAGACAAAATCCGAGACACTAATAAATGAGAGATTGATAATGAGGTAGGTAGGCCGGTAGATAGAGAAAAAACCCGGAGACGTATATAGGTAGGCAGGCACACAAATAGATTGATGGATCGACTAGATCGATGGGGTAAATGGGGTACCACCTTGCAAATGCGCTGTGGAGGCCAGATGCTCTACCTGCTGGCTTGCCACTTGGCGAAGTGTAGCTGTCGCGGTTCTGGACGAAATGCAATGCGGTGATGTATATAAGTATAATGTGCTGATGCAGGCTGAACTGGGATGCGTTCAACGCTCGGGGTCTCTACTCAAGACTTTCCTCAAAGAATCTCTACTTGTCTCTTCTCTAGAAATCCTTACTTTCAAGACTAGAAAGTCCACTCCTTCCACAGCCCTCGAAATCATCCACGTGCAGCTCCCACGACCTCCCCAAGCTGCTCAGGTGATGGTTGCCGGCTTTTACAGCCCCATCTCTCTCCTTCTCCTTCTCCTTCTCCTTCTCCTTCTCCTTCTCCTGCTCTCCTTCTCCTTCTTCTCCTCCTCGTCCTTCTCCGCCGGGCCTCAACCACGACCATCCACATCCAGTGTTCCCTGCCGGACCTCAACCGCGAGCCCCAGACCCAAGTGTTCCCCGTCGGACCTCAACCACGACTGTTCCCTGCCAGACCTCAACCACGACCATCCACACCCAGTGTTCCCTGCCGGACCTCAACCACGACCTTCCACGCCCAGTGTTCCCTGCCGGACCTCAACCACGACCGTCCGCGCCCAGTGTTCCCTGCCGGACCTCAACCACGACCATCCGCGCCCAGCGTTCCCTGCCGGACCTCGACCACAGCACACAACCACAAACACACAACCACAAACACACAACCACAAACACACAGCCACAAACAGACACCCACAAACACACAACCAGAGACACACAACCACAACACACAACCACAAACACACAACCACAAACACACAACCAGAAGCACACCATCACAAACACACAACCACAAACACACAACCACAAGCACACAACCAC